TGGGCAGCTTGCGTAGGCCGCAGTTGCAGGCACTGGCACCTGGGACCATGAGGCAGGCGGCTTGTCCTCCCGGGCCACTTCCACAGGTGTTGGCACCAGGACCTTAAGGACTGCAGGACAGGCAGATTGTCCCTCTCCCGGCCACAGGTACAGATGCTGGTGCCCAGGACTGCGAGGCAGGTGGTTTGTCCCTCTCCCTGGCCTGGCTGGTCCCCATAGTTACAATAAACAGGATTTAAACAAAGTGGGTTTTTTTGCCATCTTAGAAGATAAAGATTTCCTCTCTTAATTCACATGAATTTAAGAGATTTTTACAGTGGACAAAAGGAAGCTTATGGGAAAAGTGAAAAGTTTTAATTTCCACACTTGAATAGTGAAAACTACTAGTATAACTTGTGTAACTCATCTGAACTATTCATCACAGATAGTGACCGGCACTTAAATGGTCATCTGTAAATGTCCAAATTATATTTTAGACAAAATATGGACTATGCCAGCACTTACAGTATTTTATGCAGTGCTGCATTTATATAGTTAACAATGTGCATTATATCTCTTCTGCACAACAGAACCTTCATAGAATTGTTTTATACTAATGAATACTAAAACAAGGTATTATGAAATATAAGGAATGTTCAAATAGTGGCTTTGTGATTTTTTCCTCCATGTTTTAAGCACCCATGATAATTTTGTATTACTGGGATTTTTATAATTTCTAAACTTTATTATATATACATATTAATTTAAATCATGTATTTAAAAATAAATACTAAATAAAATGTATGTATACACTTATTTGTTTTACAAAGAAAAGTAGCCACAAAAGTTTTTCCTTTGTTCTTGGCAAAAAATACCTATTTCAGAGAATACTGTACAATAACATTTAACTTTAAAAATGTAAATAATTACATTAGCATTTCTCACCAACAACTTTATTTATGAAGACTTTTGAAAACTTATACACACCTTAACTATCTTGGGATTTTATTTCCCTTGGGCCCAGTGAAATAATGTCTGGCCTTAAAATTACAGCAACTTGGTCTTAAACAATATACCAAAATAATGAGATTATTGTATAATGTAAAAATATTTTTTTAAATAAAGCCTAAATGGCAAATTAAATGTAGGTTGTGGTTTTAAAATAGCAACAACATAGTTTACAGTAATATATGTTCAGCACCAGAGTGAGGGACTGCATGCAGTAGGTGCTTCATTACAATTCTTGCTCAGCCACTGACGGAAGCTATGATTTTAACAGTGTGGCTCCTTCATAGGTCAGACAGGAAGCATCAGTCCTAGGCCCACACAAATGGATAAAGCTTTTCGTATACATCTAGTCCAGTGGTTCTCAACCTTCTTAAGGCTGCAACCCTTTAATACAGTTCCTCATGTTGTGGTGACCCCTAACCATAAAATTATTTTTGTTGATACTTCATAACTGTAATTTTGCTACTGTTATGAATCATAATGTAAATATCTGATATACAGGATGTATTTTCATTGTTACAAATTGAACATAATCAAAGCATAGTGATTCATCACAAAAACAATATGTAATTATATATATGTTTTCCGATGGTCTTAGGTGACCCCTGTGAAAGGGTCATTCGACCCCCAAAGGGGTCGCGACCCACAGGTTGAGAAACACTGATCTAGTCAGTACTTCAGCCAGAAAAGCAAATAAATGTGCTACTCTAGTTATGTAATTCTGCACTGGGGGAAGGGAGGAGTATTAAGGTCACAATTTAAATCATATTTATATGTAAATATAAATACATATATACATACAAACATATATATAAATTGTAAATATATATGTAAATTTTCCCCACTATCTTGGTTTCAGAGTATGTTCATAGTTTCCACAAGAAGCAAATTTGGATTTCCTTTTGCTTTACCCTAGGGCAGTGATGGCGAACCCTTTGAGCTCGGCGTGTCAGCATTTTGAAAAACCCTAACTTAACTCTGGTGCCGTGTCACATATAGAAATTTTTTGATCTTTGCAACCATAGTAAAACAAAGACTTATATTTTTGATATTTATTTTATATATTTAAATGCCATTTAACAAAGAAAAATCAACCAAAAAAATGAGTTCGCATGTCACCTCTGACACGCGTGTCATAGGTTCGCCATCACTGCCCTAGGGCCTAGGCAAACTGGAATTTACCAATATGTTATTATTGGGTACAAAGAACCATTTCAAAGACATAAAAAGTTTCTGTACATTTAAAAAAGAGAGTCTTCTTTTGGTACCCAACTCAAAACAAGAAAATAGTTCATGCAAAAATGAGTTACCAGTAGAACCTTATAAAACCATATACAGATTAAGAATTTTAAGAACAATATTCCCTCTTATCCAGTTTCATTTGCCCAGTCAATCACAGTCCAAAAATATTAAATGGAAAATTCCAGAAATAAACAATTCACAAGTTATAAATCATGCTCCATTCTAAGTAGTGTGATGAAATCTCATGTCATCCAGCTCCATCCCGCCTGGGATGGGAATCACCCCTCTGTCTAGCATATTCACGTTGTTATTCTGCCTACCTATTAGTCACTCAGTAGTCTTCTAGGTTATCAGATCGACGGTTGGTATCCCAGTGCTTACAGTAGCCTAATGCTACATCACAATACCTATAATGTCACCCATTCACCTCACTTCATCTCATCATTGTATAACCTTACATCAATAGAAGGGTGAATACAGTATAATAAGATATTTTGAAAGCAAGATTACATTCACATAACATTACAGTATCGTGTTATAATTGTTCTATTATTGGTTATTGTTTTAATCTCTTATGGTGACTAATTTATAAAGCAAATTTGATTATATGTATGTATAGGAGAAAACATAGTATATATAGGGCAGGTGTGGGAAATGTTTGTCCTCCAGGATCCATAAGGCCCACAAAATCATTTGGTCTGTCCCTGCCCCAAAGCATAGGGGTGAGTTAATTAAATGTTTAAGCAAATATAGCAAGCTAATTTTTAAGTTGATAATTTTGTATGGCCTATGAGTGATGTTATAAATATCCAAACGGTGCCTGGCAGAAAAAAGGTTCCCCACCCCTGATATAGGGTTTCGTACTATCTGAGGTCTCAGGCATCCACTGGGGTCTTATAAGATACTAGAGGCCGGTGCATGAAAATTCATGTACTGGGGGGTGATCTCTCAGCCTGTCCTGCCCCTCTCATAGTCCAGGAGCCCTCAGGGGATGGCCTCCCTCTGCAGGAGGCGACCAGGTTCATCAGGGGAAGGCACCGCCCCCATCACCCCGCTGCTGCTGCTGCTGCCATTGCTGGCCACAAAGGCTGCAAGGCCTGAGCCCTGGGCCTCACAGCTGCCTGAGCCCATGGCTGCCTGAGCCCACGGCTGCCATGAGCCCCAGGCCTCGCAGCTGCTGTGGCTTTGTCCAGATGGACATCTGGATGGACGTCTGGAAGACATCTGTCCTAATTAGCATGTTACCCTTTTATTAGTATAGATTCCATGTGGATAATAAGGGGCTACTTTTACATACAATGTGAAAATTTCTGTCATGTAAATGTCTTAATATCTATAGATGTACATATATGTACATATATGTAAGTGAAAGTCAGCAACCCTTTGAAAAGCAGCACTTTCATTTTGTTATTTGTATTCCTCAGGAATAGACATAACTGTACATTATGCAGATCAAATCTTTTAAAGTAATTTTAATCTTAAAGTTTGTTGTCATATTAGTACATTTTATGTGGACAATGAAAGTCCACCTTATTTTGGTTCTTAAAGGAAACCACTAAGTCAGATTTAATGTTGTTTTCTGTTCCATAGGAGCATCTTTAGTTCAATAAAATATCTTGACAAACTATGCCTGAGATTTTAGGGGACTGTTCTGAGCTAATCCTAAATTAAAGTTCAGTGTTCTAGGACATTGTGTTACAGCAGACGTTAACCTCAGTGCCTGCCTTGTCTAAATACAAATCAGCAACCAAAACTATTTGATTCTTGGCTCAGAACATGGAACACACATTCCCCATTCATCATCCAAATAACTGAGTGATCCAAAAATATTTTCTCATTAAAATATCATTAGCAATCATGTAGGAAAGCTTTTATACAATTGTTCTTTCAAAAATGTTTAAGCAAAACAGTAAAAATAAATAACCTAGATATGTCATTTTCTCTAGGCTAGTATCATGGAAGTTCTTGTAGCCCTTGATTTTGAAAAACTCCTCAATACTTAAATACGGACCTGAGATGAAAATGGGCCTCATCAATGCCCATTATTTGCATCACTGAGTGTTTTGTGATAGCAAATGTCTACAGTCCTAGAGGGTTAGGATAGTGTAGTGCAGTGTGAACCCCAGAACCAGACCTAGGTTTGAGGCCCCACCCTACCACTTACTAGCAATGTGAATTGGGCTAAAGTCACCTCTTTGGGCCACAGTTTCCTCACAATCTTATATCAAATATGTTACCACATATAAAGCATTTAGGACAATGTCTGGCATTTGGTATTTATTCAGTAAATATTAACATGTTATATTATTCAATTTTTTTCATTCAAAACTTAGAGGCCCCACATCAGACTTCTAGTTGCTGTTAATTATCAATTCCTATTTTTATGTATTTAGTGTACTCCCTGGTTGATGTATATATGTGTATAATCTATACCATGTAGTACATATATGTATATGTAAACCATATAATGAATATGGTATACTAGAGGCCCAGGACATGGAATTCATGCATGGGTAGGGTCCCTGGCGGCTGCCAGCTGCTGGCCAGGGCCTCCCTTTCCCTGGCTGCTTGCCTGCCGCCGCTGGCTGCCCGGGGCCTCCCTTCCTGCTGTTGGCCAGCCAGCCCCTCCCCCTGGTTGAACTCCCATTTGAACTCCTGGTCGAATTCCCAGTTGAGGTGGCAATTTGCATATTAGGCTTTTATTATATAGGATATGTGTGTGTAAGGATGTGTAACAAAGAGACGCAAAAAACAACATTTTTATGGTGAAATACATAATACAGAAAAATAAAATACAGTAAGTTGAAAAAAACCTTGTCCTTAGAGTCAGCCTTTCATGATGGTAAAGAACACATTCAGAATATCTTCACTTTTAAGTAAGCCAGAAGTCTGATTTTCTTAAGCGTAAGTCATCTTTCCAAGGTAGTTAGCTGGCACATATCCTTTCTGCCCTCGAGCTTCAGCTAACCACCACTCTTTATTGCCACTTAGATCACAAAATCTAAGTATATGAACTCTTTGGTATTCCTGAAGGCTGAGTTCACAGTTACTCCTTGCTTCAAAGGCATGAACTGCATAGAAAATCTAGACAAAGAGGCAAATGACATTAATTAGAAACAGAGTCTAAAAGTGTGGATAAATGTTAATACAGATTGCCAACCTTTTAGAAGGAATGCTAGTTTTCTTATTTTCCCCAAATGATATTTCCTCAATTCCCACTGGGTGCATTTTGCTAAAGTGTAGTCCAGATATGAATATAGTGAAATCGGCATTCTTATTGTTCTGTTGGGAGGAGTCTGAACTATAGTTGAAGGCAATTTGGCAGCTTCTGTTTAAAATTTTTTAAAATATTCGTTTTAAAAAACAATAGCTCTAAGAACCTCTGCTACAGAATAGAAACATTGACAGATTTTTACACAATAATGTTACTGCAATACCCATTTATAAGGTGAAAAGTGGGAGAAGAGTGAAAATAATACTGAAGATTCAGCAAGAGAATAAATTCTAGACCATACACTAAAGAAGTCAATAGTCATTACAAGTGACTAATAATATGGAAAAATTATTATGATAAAATAGTAAGCAAAAAGGACATAAAATCAGATGTACAATATAAGCCTAATATTGTCAGATTCTTTGGTAGAGTTAGAGGTGATTTTCACTTCCCCTTATTTGTTTCCTTATTTTCTAAACCTATATAATGACAATGTAATAAACTTATAATATTTAAAATATTTAAAAGACCTAGAAGAAACTAGTAAAACACATTTCCATCAAAAGAAATTTTTTCCAGCCTCAAAAGAATACTTCGCAATTAGTAGGTGCATAAGAAGCCACTAAGTAAAGGTTAAGTCCCACTTCCACTGAAATCATAATAAAATTTTTTTTGTTTTGGCATAAAATTAAACAATCAACTAATAACATGTATTCATTCATTTCATCAGAATTTATTAAGTACCTATTAAGCACCAGATAATATATTATCATAGAACTTGTAACCCAGCTAGGCGGGAAAATTAAAAAAAAAAAAAAAAGGCACGGAGGGGGGGGGTGGAAGAGAGCATAGAAGCGATAAATGGGAGAGAGAGAAAGAGAGAGAGAGAGAGAGCGAGAGAGAGAGAGAGAGCGAGAGAGAGAGAGAGAGCGAGAGAGAGAGAGAGAGAGAGAGAGAGAGAATTAGAGAGAGAAGGAAGGAAGGGAGGGAGGAAGGAAGGAAGACAAAACAAAAAAATGCCCTATGCATGCAGGTGATATATCAGCTCATTGTGAGCTGGTTTCAATAAGTAATCTTTTATAGGTGACACAAAGGGTGGATATATCATATTCAAAGGTATATGAAAACAGTATATGAGAATGACAAGCAGATTAACTTGCTCAAAATTAAGGGTCAATGTAAAATGGAAGTATTAGAAATAAGGTGACTTGTTGAGCAGTGAGAGACTGGGCAATGTGGGGAGGGAACTGTAGTTAGAATTACAGTTGGTTTTTGAATCTTAAACTATTATTTAACTTTTGGTAAGATTCTGATAGCATTGATTTGTGTACCATCTCAACAACTCAGCATGAGTCCACCTCCAGGAAAGGCACCCCATTTTCTCCATTGAGCACATCAGAGTACACTGTAGTAATTCACATATATGTTGATTTGACTTGAAAGTATCCTGAAAGGCTTGGATATCATACAAGAACATATAAAAGACCATCTTGCATCATGTGAGATACAAGGCAGATTGTTGGGCATGGATTATTTTGTAATTTAAAAAGTAAAGAAAACAGCCCGGTTGGTGTGGCCTGGTGGTTGAGCATCGACCTATGAACCAGGAGGTCACAGTTCGATTCCAGGTCAGAGCACATGCCCTGATTGAGGGCTCAATCCCCAGTGGGGGGCATGCAGGAGGCAGCTGATCAATGATTCTCTCTCATTGTTGTTTCTCTCTCTCCCACTCCCTTCCTCTCTGAAATAAATTTTAAAAAATATTTTTTGAAAGTAAAGGAAACAAAAAGAGAGGTACCATAAATTGTTGAGCAGTGGAATAGCAGCAATAATAACTACTTTTTATAGCACTTGTGACAATTTACATGTCAAATGTGCTTTGTCCTCAACGGCCCTGTGAATTGTGATTTGGAGAAGTAGCAACATGCTCTCAATCACAGAGCTAGTGGGTGCTGCTAGCTCCATATCCTCTAATTCCTGTGCTTGATCCAGGTCTCATAATACTTTAGGAGCCGAACTCTTGTTCTAGCAAAGAGTGCAGAGTGTATTCTTGCAGAAAGGGATTGGGCTCTCTAATATGTTGCTGCTCTGTTGGTTTTGTGTGTGTGTGTGTGTCACTGGGTGCAAGTAGCGGCATAAACGGGGGGCATAAACATATATAAAAACTGAAAACTTCTCATCCTATTTAATTTTGGACCATGATCATCTAAGTTATTGAAAGTATATGTTATAATTTTTCACTTTAAAATTTAGTTTCATGAGAATCAATATTTAGTGTTTAAAATATAAGCTGTTACAATTTCAGACCAAACAGATCAAGGTGGAAGATTTTATATACTCCCATTAAAAGAACATGTGCCCAAATGAAAAGTGAGCACAGATACAGTCGACCCTTGAACAACACATTTAAAATGTGTAGGTGCACTTATATGCCGATTTTTTCCAATAAATACAGAAAATGTATTTTCTCTTCCCTATGATTTTCTTAACATTTATGTACAATATTCTATGAATGCAATCCAGTTGTCCACAGCATTTGCTTTTTTAATAATATTCTGTATTACTATATTATGGACTCATACCCAATTTATTACCCATTGTTTATAACTACCAAATCATTCCCAGTTCAGCATTTCCTTATTCTATATTAGTGCATTTAATCATTCCTCCCTTAGTGAGCCACATTACCAGTCTTCACTGAATCTCATTTTTTTTCTTTCATCCCAGTTCTTCAATTAGCGACACAAAAATCATAATATATTTTAATAAGGCTTTCCAAAACTGAAAAAAACAACAACTATAAACCAGTATTTACAGTATTATAGTATAGTAGAAGCCCGGTGCACAAAATTTGTGCACGAGGGGTGGGAGGAGGGAGGCGGGGGAGGTACCCTCAGCCCAGCCTGCACCCTCTCCAATCCAGGACCCTTGAGACATCCATCTCACAATCCTGGACCGTTGGCTCCTAACCACTCACCTGTCTGCCGGCCTGATCACCCCTAACTGCCTTTGCCTGCTGGCCTGATTGCCCCTAACTGCTTCCCCCACAGATCTGGTCATCCCTTACTGCCCCCCGTGCTGGCCTGGTTGCCCCTAACTCCCCCCCACCCGGCCTGGTTGCCCCCAGCTGCCCACCCTGCCAGCCTGGTCACCTCTCACTGTTCCCCCGCTGGCCTGGTACCCCCCAACTGCTCTCCTCTGCCAGCCTGGTCACCCCCAATACCCCCTTCTGACAGCCTGGTTGCCCCCAACTGCCCGTCCCCCGCCATCCTGGTCACCTTTGACTGCCTCCCCTGCCAACCTGGTTGCCCCATGCAGCCTGCTGTTCAGTCAACCAGTTGTTTTGGTCATCACGGTCACTGCCTTTTTATATATATAGATACAGCTCAGGAAGCCAAAATAGTTATCTCACATTTTTAAATATGCTCATTTTTCTTTCTTACCCTGCAGGACAAGCTTTCATGTACTTTAGTTAACAATCCTATATTATAAAAGGCTAATATGCAAATAGACTGAATGGCAGAACAACCAAAAATCTGAACAACTGGTCGCTATGATGTGCGCTGACCACCAGGGGCATGCATGGAACATAGCGGGCATCATCAGCAGGCAGCAGAGCGCGGAACATGGCAGGCATTGGCCATGGCAGGATGATGGAGCAGGTGAGTGGGGGCACCAGACCAAGGCGCGGTGTTGGTTGCTGTCATAGGGGAGAGCCTCTGGTGGTTAATGGAAATTTTTTGCTTCCTCACACTGCAGTCCCACCTGGTGCTCCCACCTGATGCTGGTGCCAGTCCTGCTCTCACCCGCTGCCGATGCCTGGCACTGGCCCCGATCGCTCATCACCATCAGTGGATGTGAGCGGCAGCTACTGGCCCCGATCGCCTCTCAGGGCTTCTCTACCTCCCCCTGCTGCTGAGGGGCGATTGGGGCTGGCAGCCACCTCTCGCACCTGCTGCTGGCACCAGAGCCGCTGCTTGCACCCAGTGACAGCACTGGCCCCAATCACTCCATGCTGTCAGTGGGTGCGAGCGGGGATGGCGCCGTGCGTGGGAGTGGCGGCTGGAGTGGAGCTGCCAGCAGACAGGGGACCAGGAGGCCGTGGTGGGAGGGGTTGGGCGGGGGTGTGGAGAATGGGCTGAGAACCGCCCCTGTGCCCACTGCAGCCTTGTGGCCCACAGTTCCTTTCAAGGCACCCGAAATCATGCACTGGCCCCCTAGTTATGTATGATTATTACACAAGTAATTTTTATTAATAAAAAACAATTTTAAATAAAGGTAAGCAAAAAAGAAAAGAAATCATCCAACTGCTATTAATACCTTGCTTTCCTTGCTTGCATCCTGCCTTCCTTTCTTTGTCATTTATCTTTTTTTCTACCTATCCACCTGAAGTGCTAATAAACATACAATTAGAGTACACATAATTTTTGCAACCTGTTTTTCCACTTGAAAATATAGTAAAAAATCTTTTCATGTCATTAAAACTTTCTAAAGCGTCATTTTAACGACTACTTAAATACATTAAGCTCCAGCCTGCTGACTTTTGAAGCATTTCCTGAACAATAATATACTACCTATATAGCATTATTATTATTATAAGTAGTTGAAAATGTAAGGACGGAGGGCCAGACAACCAATTTAGAATTAGCAGCAAAAAAAAACTAACTTCTAATAAGTCAAAAATTTTATCCTCAGCATAATATATGTGGGGGCGGGGGGAAGTGCACTTATTCTCAGACATTGAAATTCCCACCAAAATTGGATTTTAGCTATTATTTAAACCCAGTCCTTTTGAGAAGTACCAAAGATTGCATCACAACAGTCCAGCATCCTGCTTGCCACACAAGGTATCTTAGAGACTGTGGTAGTT